GTCCGAAAGAGACGGGCACGAGGGGTCTAGGACAAACTGTGGAAGTGTCACAGAGAATGGCTCCCTCCGTGGTTTGGAGAGAAACATGTTGCACATGCAGCGAAGTGGACTGCTGAGTGCGCTGTATGTCTGCGTCTTGAGCCTGAGCAAATGCCATGGCGGCAAGGTCGAAGGTAGGCGAAGACTGCAGAGTGAGGCTGACGCATGAAAGAGCCTCGGCGACGAGATTGTCGACACCTGAGACATGACGTATGTCAGCAGCGAACTGCGTGATAAAGGCTAAGTGTCTTGTTTCACGTGGTGAATATTTGTTGCATTCAGAGTTGAAGGCGAAGATAAGGGGCTTGTGGTCAATGTAAACTGTGAAAGCGCGGCCTTTGAGTGTGTGCCGAAAGTGACGAATGGCTAGGTAAATGGCGAGCAGTTCTCTGCCAAACGTCTGTAGCGGGATTCCGCAAGGTGCATTCGCTTGGAGAAGAAACCATTGCCCACCAAAGTGTTGTTGGAGGACGGCTCCTACCGCGACGTTTGAGGAATCAATCGTACTAGAAAGGGATGCAGTCGATTCGAAATGAGCGAGGAGGGCTATGCTAGAGATAGCATCCTTGAGCACGGCGAAGGCTGTCTGTGCTGCGTCAGGGAAAGCTAACTTACGTTCATTCGCTCTGAGTAGGTCAGTCAGAGGCTGCATGAGCTGAGTGCAGCGCGGAATGAAGCAACGATAGTAGTTGACCAAACCAAAACTTCGACAGACGTTCGTGTACGAAGTCGGAGCTGGGAAGTTCTTGATTCCCTGGATCTTATCAGGAAGGACTTCGATATCAGACGAGGAAACGAGGTGGCGTAGGAATTCTACCGTCGATTTGCCGATTTCACACTTGTCCGGGTTTAATGTGACACCGCGTCGGCTCAAAGGCTGGAAGAGTGCTCGAACATACTCAAGGTGCTCTTGTTCCGATGAACTGCCTACTAAAGTATCATCGAGGTAGGAATAAGCGAAGTCCATGCCCCGATTGACATCGTGCATGCAGCGTTGGAAGGTTTGTGCGGTTTTCATAGTCCAAATGGCATTCTTAAAAATTCAGGCAAGACGAAAGGAGTGATAACGGTTGTTTTAGAATTGTCATTATCTTCTACAGGTATCTGGTGATAGGCGCAAACCAGATCGATTTTGCTGAAGATCGTCTTACCTGTGAGGCATGCGGTAAGGTCCTGCATATGTGGGATTGGATACCTATCTGGGACGGTTAGCTGATTGAGTGCGCGGTAATCACCGCAAGGACGACAGTCACCAGATTTCTTGGGGATCATCTGCAGGTGAGAGAACCAAGGGCGGTCGGAAGGGCGGATTATTCCAAGTTCAAGCATGTGCTCAAACTCCGCCATAGCTACCTTTAGTTTCTTGGGCGATAGTCGGCGCGGACGGCATGAGACGGGTGGGCCATTCGTTTTTTCTTATGTAGTGCGTGACTTGGGATGCAACCCATCCAAAAAACGATTAGTCGCCGACCCTTTACTGGTCGGCGTAAACTCACTTGCTTCATCCATTCAATCGAACACATTTTTGTCTCCGAGAAGCTCTCATGCATTACACAAATGCTCAAGGTCTACTCAGTAAATTAGCTGAATAAAGACTTCGACACGCGTCAGCAGTTTGAGAACTCATCGGTGTCACCGAAAACTGGTTGCGCTGCGAGATAACGGATGCTGAAATCGCGCTAACGGGCATGCCCGTTTTCCGGAAGGGTCGAGCCAGCAAAGGTGGTGGGGTAGCCCAGCACTTTCGTAACAACATGCAACGCGAACCCATAAACGATTCGGAAACTGATATACCTGACTCCATTTGGTGTAATTTCCGGCTGATAGGAAACGATCTCGGCCTATTGGTTGTTGTTTATCGCCCACCATCGTCTGCTCCAGAGATGGACTGCAATTTGATGGCTGCGTTGAGGCAAGTGATAAACAGGAAGTACAGTCACATTCTAGTCACCGGCGACTTCAATTTACATGGTCTAGAATCCCAGGCCACACCAGGAAAGCAATTCAAAGCAGAATTGCAAGATTTGGTCTCAGACTTCCCGCTTTATGGCCACGTCACTAAGCCCACCAAGTTCAGGGGAACTAACAGGCCATCCATGTTGTACCGAATATTCACCAATGAAGAATTGATGAACGCGAGGATGAGAACCGATACTCTTTTGTAAATTGAGCTGGCGCAGCGGTTTACAGTGAGTAAACCTTGATATAATTCAGCGTCCCACGGTTTCACGCGATCTGGTATTTTGCACTCCAGTATTGGAATTACAATAGACACCTCTTTATTATCTTTGTGGCTGATGGTTTGAAGGTTCTAACGTAAGTGGATAATAGTGAGATACAGTAGTACCAGTCGTTCTTGACAGCAGTGCTTACTAAACTGCTTGCACTCAGTATTCATACTTTGCGTTCTTGTATGATGTGTCAAGGATAGGTATTTCTTCTGAAACTCGCACCGACCAACGTTGTCTTATAGTCTAGGGATTGCATTTTGGATGTGGATGGGGATCGGCCTCTACGCATTGCGTAGAGGAGGCCAAGGCTCATTAGAAACTTTTGACTTCTCCAGAATGAATTAGGAAATTTTATTTGTGCTTCCGAGCACTGAAACCAGAAAACGTACTTTATGATGTGAAGTCGCTATAACTGCATTCTTATCAATTGGCTCGTGGCCTAGAGGTACGAGCTCGTCTCCTAACCTTGCGGCGCGGGTGGGAATCCGTGTAGGACTGGGCGTCCTCGCGGTAAACTCAGCCCACTGGTGGTGGTCACACGGCAGCAAAACGCCGTTAGGGCGTTCATCTAAGACATTATTCCTATTATCATCAATCGGAAACTTGGTAAGAATGATGGATAAACGAAAACAATGTCATATGAAATCGTAGATGGCCAAGCGCGCACGAAACTAGACTGGGCTTGGAGCCACAGTCAGCTGCCTTTGAATACAAAGCCGTGGACGTTCGCGACAAGTAATGCTGGTCGCCAGAAGTTTAAGAAAGTTGGCATCTAACTGTGTCTTGGGACTTTGAACGACTCAACCGGATTGCCTTTGTGCCGGTAGTCAGCAACTGTCTGATGATTACCGAGGCTGCTCTTTTTAATCCGAATCTATCGTTGAAGATTTCATTCAGCAGCGTATCAACTTGGGAACGCGTTCAATGAGTTTACCGCCCATTTATTTATCACTGCTGCATGTATGTGATTGATAGGAATGCACAAGTTGACGTTCTGATCTCACCATTTCCTTTTCATCCTTTTGGGAATTATCTGGAACCGTAGTCACATTGAAAAATTGGAAGTTTCCAACAAGCGTGGCCAAATGCAGCCCGGTCAATACGTTCATGCGTACATGCTCAATCCAGGCGCTTAATTTACGACACTTATGGAAGTAACTGTGCCATCCGTTTTTTCCATTTCGTATCTGCCTTTTTAGCAATTGGTTGTAACACTTGTACCTTGCGACTTATTTGAGATTCCGCTTGTACAAAAATTGCAAACACACATTCACATCAAGCCAACATTATCACCACGGAAGTTGACAATACCAAAATGAAACCGGTGATCAACCTTCCTTGATGTTGCGGTCCAATCTGCTAGGGCTTACTTGTAACTGGCTCAGTGACTGTGGTGCTATAATGGTCTGTTAATCAAATATCGTATATTACTGGCGATCCGACTGATCGTCCGATGGAGCATGGAAAGATCGAGATAACAAGGGCCATAAACATGCCCACGATCCGAAAGTAGGCACCCAGATGAAAAGCCAGCATGAAGACCGTAATGCGTTATTCGTCGTATATGGTACACCGCTTAACATGACACTGTGTGGAGAACCATGCGCCTTTTTGGGCGATCAATAACACCCTGTTCAATTAGCTGCTATCTGCCCAGGCAGACGGGTGCTCAGGTTGAATTCCGTTCCATGAGTGTGGATTTCTTGTATGAAAATACCAGAGATGTCAACAAGTAAGTCAAAAGCATCAGCAGTAAGCCGGTATGCAGTACCGATGCCTCCCTGCATCGCAGCCACCAACAGTCGCACGTGGGATAAGGAAACTGCGAGGATCGCCCGGCCTCTGCGCAGGCTCGAACCCGCTATTAAGGCAGGCTTGATTCTTGAGGGCACGGGCTGCAAATCAGAGATGATAGAGATTGTACACACGCGAAGGTGACCGTAAGTGCTAGCAAACACGCAGTCGGGGACACTGATGCGA